TTGGCTTTTACCAGGTAGGCGCTTCCATTCTTTTTTTTTCTCTCTTTTTTTTTTTTTGGGCCATCGTTGAATACGAGAGCAGATTTTGAAATGATCTTTGTTCACGCCTGCGCTTCCGCATCGTATGCAGACCTTGATTGAAGTACCATCTGCGCGTTTGCTTGACCCGCTCTGCTGTCTCCGACGACGACGTTCTTTTCCGTGGTCTGACAGCTTGCTGATCTGCAACTCAACCCCCACTTTCCAAACGAGCTTGCGCCGGACACGCCATCGCCATTCGATAGCCATCTTTCTTCCTTCTGTTTGGGACTTTCGTCTGATCTGCAATCCAACAATCATGTCGTTTGCTGAAGCCCTGGCTGCTTGCGGTCGCGGCGACGCCCCTGGCGATGCGCCAGATTCGTCTTGGCTGACCACCGCTTCCACCTTCTACATTTATTGCAAGCACTTGGAAGAGGATGCCATCTGGCATCAGCACGAAGATGCCCGTCATTCATACGCTGTGCCTCAGGCCCCCTTGGCTGCAGCCAAAAGGGGTGCTGATTTGGGTGCCTGTCACGACGAGCGCCCTCACACAGCCGCTGACCGTCGCAACTCACACAGCTCATCCATGGACGTTGATACTGCTGATACCAACCCCAAGCCCTCCGCGCAACACCACGAGTATCGGCCTCCACACTTGCACCATCAGTCCTCCACCTACTCAGAGCAACCCGTCGTGTCCAAGCGTCCACGACCTGGCCCTGTCATCTCGCCTCAACCGCCAACCGACGAGCACCTCGATGACCCGACCGAGCCCTTCTGCCAGCGTCGTGGCCTGGGCCTCTCCCTTCCCCAACGTGTCCCGCATCTTTTCGATGAGCACTCCACGCGCCCGGGGGATGTGGGATCCCCGCTTACCGATGATGCCGTCGTCACAGCTGCTCAAGGGCAGGCCTACGGCATTGCCCGCAACCTTCACTTGTGCTAAAGCCCAACTGCCACGCTGCGGATGGCAGGCTGCGGATGGCAGGCTGCGGATGGCAGGCTTGCCGGCCCTAAACCTCTTTGATTACCTGACTTGACACGTGATTCTCGGGGGCACATTTCGGTCCTCCCTATAGCGGGGGGCCGACCTTGCGTTACTCAAACACACGTCGGTCTGATACCATTCCGTTGAACGGATGGGTCAGCATCTGAGCCTCAAGTGTGCTTTTTGCAGGCTTGGATCCAACCTTGTTTTGACGTGCCGTACATTGTAAACGAGTTGTTTGACCTACTTTCAACGTCCTATTCTGCGCATTTTACATCTTGTGCGTGGTTGGTCGGTGTTGGAAAAACTCCGCCGAGCGGAGTGCAGCCAAAGTATTTGCCGTTCCTCTTCCATGATGATCATCACGCGGAAGTGTTTGTTCTTGTTTTTCTGTTCTTTTCTTTTCCCTTGTGCACGGGTTTTTTTTTCAAGCACAACGTTTGTTTCACGACATTGGGGCTTGCCTTGAAGGGGGTTTGTCAGTTCGCTTCTGGTTTTCGAGCATGCCTGGGATAAACCTTGACACCGGCCAAGGTGGATGTGCTTGAGCCTCGAAACGCATTGCATGCTTCCCCCTCTTAATTGATCTGGAAATGAAAAAGGCCTGGGTTCTCCTTTGTTCATGCTGATCGATGTTGCTAGTGCTGAGGTGCGATGGCCATCACTGTCGATTCCATTGAAAATGCATGTCAGATCAGGAGCACAGGGCGGGGCAAAAGAAGAGCAAGACGGCGGAAGAAAGAAGCTTGCTGGCTAACGACGGTCTCTTTTGGCTCGATAATAATCATCGTCCTCGTAACGACGGCCGCCTCGGTCCTACCAAACAGCCAATGGTCAGCAGGAGGTCGGTACCAGCTCTCATCTGGCATGCGATACAATCCAAGTACCTCGCGGCGGTCATCGCGGCTGTAGCGGCGATCATCGTCCCGTCGGTCACGCGAAGACCTAAAATGACAATATCCCGTTCAAAATGCCCGCCCACAATCCTTTGGTGAGGCTCGGCCCATGTTGCCAACCTTGTTTAAGTCAGCACAAACACTGGGAGAATAAAGAGCAGATGCAAATGATTTCAAACCTATAATCACGTCGTCGATCCTCGTCTCGGCCATGCGACCGGCTGTCAAAGTAAGCAAATGCCACAAAGTTCAGGATAAATGCAGTCAAGCAGCCGGGGTAGCGTGGGATCAGGCATTTAGGGATGGGTCATCGCACCAACCTGCTTCGGTCACGTTGGCCATCTGAACTGTTCCGATGATGACTCTGCAGCCGGCAGCCAGGATCAGTGATGAAACAATCATGGGCCATCTGATGGCGGTCAACCGAACCCCCCCACCCCCCACCCCCCGAAAAAAGAAAAAAAAATGGAAAAACACAAACAAACAAACAAACAAACGGTATTCACTGCGCCACCTACCGGTGGTGGGCCTGGCGGAGGAGGAGGAGGGTGTGACTGTTGATGCTGCTGCTCCTGGTGCTGCGACTGTTGTTGTTGCGACTGCTGCGGTTGGTGTTGTTGCTGCGGCTGTTGTTGTTGTTGCTGCTGCTGTGGCTGCTGCTGTTGCTGCGGCTGGTGCTGCTGCCGTTGTTGTTGCTGGTGTGGGTGCTGCTGGTGCTGTTGTTGATGAAAGGGAGGCGGTCCACCATGGTTCGGCATGCCCATAGCCATACCCATGCCCATGCCCATGCCCATGTTCATGGGAGGAAAGCCACCCCCGCCTGGCGCACCGGCAGGCCCAGCCATGCTCGTGTTGGGCCCCATCATGTTCATCATGTTACCACCATGAGGCATTTGGTTAGGCGGTCCTCCCGGCATGACCCCAAACTGAGCTGTATTGTTGCCCGGGTGGCCATGGCCGCCGCCACCCATGGGCCCTTGTTGTTGAGCAACGCCCGAGGTCCCCATGGCCAACTGCTGGGCCTCTTGCCTCACGTTGTGCCGCATGATCATTTGCTTTTCTGCATACGCCCGCCACGTTTGCTCCGTAAACCCATAATTGAAGTAATCGGAGAGATCCGCACCTGTGTGGTGACCCCAGGTCAAGGGTTTAAATCAGAAGATGATTTGCAGCAAGCACACCAAACCAAAGATACCGCAGTACGGTAGCCAGCAAGGCCCGCCCTCACCTGGCTCGCGCCATGGCTTGTCTTCCAACACATCAATGGACCACTCGTAAATGTTGACGCCTTGATACTGCATGTTTGTATTGAGCAGACCAGAACATGTCATCAAGGAGGCACGAGTCGTCAACATCAGACTGATGGACAGAGCATCAAGGGGCTGGACAAACCTGGCCTGGGGTCTCAAGGTCTACGCCCTGACGATCGCGCTGCTGGGTGCGATGTTCCTCGCTATTCTTATCCGCTGCAGTGGTCTTGACTTGCTGGCCCGCCGGTGCTGTTTCGGCGAGCTGGTCACCGTCGCCGTCACCTTGGCTCACGTCTGCTCCAGCTGCAGTGCCTTGAGCGCCCTCCTCCTCCTCACCCTCACCGCCAGCGGCTGCGTAGGAGTCGGCTTGTTGCTTGAACGTGTTAAAGTCCACGGCTCCACCAGTGACAAAATCATCATCATCGTCGTCATCGTCCTCTGATGAGTCGCTCCTGCAGACAGGAGATCATGTGCGTTTGAGGGAGACATGGGAGGTTGCTCGTTCATGGCCAGTGAGCGTGCCGCGAGCTTTTCCAAGGGTTTACTGCTACTTACTCAGCCTTCTCCACGGTGCTGATGGGCTGAGCCTCCTTCTGTATGGGCCAGCAAGAGAACCAGTGAGGAGACCCACTTGACAAGCAAGGAAACAGCCAGGAGACTTCTTTCAAAAAGAGCATCGTGCACGACTGTCCGCAGGCAGGTCATGGGTGATGCGTACCTGAGCAGGCGGCTGTGGGGTCTGAGTTGTGGTGGTGGGCGTGCTCTCTTCGTCTGGCAGCCAAGCCGATCACCCATTATTGGAAATGCAGGGTGAGAATGGGTTTGCGAAAGGACTCAGACCCAGAGCCGGAAAGCGTGTCCTACCATCATCATCGCCGTAAAGGAAACGATCCTCATCATCGTCGTCCATGATGCCGATTGAGGCCGATGCAGAGGTCAAGTTGCTCACCACTCGCGCAGCAGGCTGTTGAGACTAGCCCAAAGCGATAGGCGCCAAACCAGGGGAAGGTCTGGTCTCGACGTCCAATCAGCCCGCCTCAACAAGCGAGGGAGCGAGCGAGTGCGTGAGTGCGTGAGCGCGTGAGTGAGCGAGGAGCAAGACTAAAAAAAAAAAAAAAAAAGAACTCGAGCAGCAACAACTGTCGTCTTCCCCCACAACAGCTGTTCTTCGGGTTGTTCCTTCAATCTGCGTGAAGACTCTTCAGTCTGCATGCAGACTGGAAGCTCAACCTCTGGAATTTTCGTGTATGACTGAGTTATGAAAAAGTCACCTCAAACGATACAGAAATGTACACCTTATATGCCGAGAAGACACAAAGCCCAAGTCGGCAGCTTGTTACCAACTGTAACTACCCCCGCCCCCTCCGGCGCAGTTCTGGTAAAAACAGTGAAACTTAATGACTTTGTGAGACTTTATGCAGTGAAAAATCAAGCTTCTGCAGTATCAATAGTTTAATTAGTGTAAGAAGATGTAGAGAAAGCCGATGTTAATGGTGTCTTTCCATACCTAACATTCCTTTGTCTCTGGACGATCTTTTGTTCTCCTATTTAGAAACGAGCCACAACAACAACAACACACACACACACACACACACACACACACACACACACACGTCTGTACAAGACTCCAGAAACCAACGAAATGGCAGCGGCACAGGGTGACGAGGACTTTGAAACGACTCCCGGATACAAGGCCCCGGCTCAGGTTGATTTGAATACGCTTCAGAACCTGGACAAGGATGATGAGGCCCTGAACCGCTGGAAGGCCAAGCTCTTGGAGGGCGTTGATCAAAGTGGTACGTTTGATGTTCAGTGTGTGTGTGAGTGTGAGCTCGCAGGAGCTCGCGCGCGCTTCTCTCTCCCTCTCTCCCGCTTTGACGCACCCGCATGTGACGATGGAGCCAAATGGGAAGGAGGAAAGAGAGAGTGTGTGCGTGTGAGTCTGTGTGTGTGTGTGTGAGAGAGAGAGAGAGAGTGAGAGAGAGCCTGGAACCAAATGCAGGAGCAGCCTTGCCTGAGACTGTGTTTGCGCACGTCATGTCGTGTCTGCACCAACCAAGCGATCCCATCGGCTCACTGGCTTGGATATATGATTATGTTTGTGTCCGGTTGTACGCGTAGCTGGTTCGGGTGACCCCCGCCGCGTCATCGTTGAGAAGATGACCTTTGTCAGTGCTGAGAAGGAGATGGAACTCGACCTCACTGGTACGGGTCGCAAGCCTGGGCTTGTCTGATCATCATCATATCACTCTGTTTGGATGACGAGAGAGGCCTGTCGATGCACACGATATGGTGTCATGCTTCTCTGCCTTTTTGTCTGGCACCTTTCGTCTCACGGAACCGCTCATGCCATGGTAGGTGATTTGGCTTCCATCAAGGCTCAAAGCTTCACCATCAAGGAGGGTGTTCAGTTCCGACTGAAGATTGACTTCCGGTATGCTCTCTCCCTTATTCTTGATTTTTATTAACACATTGACAGCTGCTGTTATACCTTCCAGGCCTTCGGGATTCCGACAGCAATCTCACCGCTCGCCTGGCTATGCTTTGTGCTTGATAGCGTGCAACACGAGGTCGTGGCCGGCCTCCGGTACACTGACGGTGTTTACCGCAAGGCTCTTCGCGGTATGTGCCCAGTCCAGTCCAATCCAGTCCAGTCCAACCCAGCCCATCCTTCCCTCCTGGCCACACACTCACCCAAACTCTTGTGCGTGCGCTTTTGTGCTTGTGCAGTGATCAAGAACAACTACATGCTGGGTTCCTACGGTCCCAAGGCCGAGGTTCAAAGCGCCATGACGCCCTGGGATGAGGTGCGTGCTTGTCTGCATCAAGCCACCGATGTATTTGTGACGCCCTTGCCTTGCCTCGCTTTCGTGTGTGGCCCCTCATTGTCCTGTGTTGACTTGGCGTAGATGCCAAGCGGCATGCTGGCGCGCGGCCATTACACGGTCAAGAGCAAGTTTATTGACGATGACAAGAACGAGCATCTGGCCTGGGAGTGGACCTTTGACCTCAAGAAGACGTGGTAAACATGGTGCTTGCTCCTTCTACTTGCATCACCTTCCCTTTGTCCGTCTTTCTGTCTCTTGTTCTCTCTCGAACGTCCCTTTCCCCCAAATTGTCTTGATGTTTCGGCGCCAACGCAAAGCGCTGCTGTGTGTGTGGATGTGTGATCCCCTCCGCGCCGAGCCTTTGACCGCAAAATCCTTGTTGCTTGTGATACAAACCCAAACGAAAACAAACATGAAATCTAAATACGAAGCAAAACAAGCAAAGCACAGTCTTGGCTCCTCAGAGCGGACGCTAGACCTATCATCTGCTTCACTCCTCGATCTTCGGAAGCCAAAGCGCCAGGGTCGAACAAGCACTGGCCAAAAGGGCGTACTTGGGATTGAACTTGACGCTGGACACGGGGTTGTGGTGTCCTACGGACACATGGTCATGTGGAAAAACTGAGCAGGGACAGGTAGGGAGAGACCGAAAACTCGGTCCAAATCAACCAATGGTGCAAAACAAGAAATCAAACCTGCGAGCATGGCCACACGATTGCTATTCTCCGCATCCCACATTATAACCTTGCCTTCCTTCGAGCCGACGGCGGCATAGCGACCGTCGGGCGACCATGACGCCTCCATCGGCTCGCCTGCACGACAAAGGCATGGCATGAGCGCGCACGCATGTTGACAAGACGCCATTGGCGATGGCGCCACGTACCTGAGCCACCCGTGCTGCCTTGTTTTTTGCCCAGTTGTGACCGCACATCACCGCTGTATGCGTCGACAACGTAGTTGACGCCTTGCAGCGTGCTGACCAACAACCGCGAGCCATCCGGACTGGCTGAAATGTCTGTGCCCGCGAAACATTGGAGGATGAACACAAGGTGCGGCCAGAAAAAAAGCATTCGGCTTGTGTTCAAGTGGGGGCAAGGTGGGTCAAGGGACGTGCTGTACCACGCTTCGCACCTGTCCAGCTGCTCGACATGTCTCGGAGCGTCTCCTGAAAAACCACAAAGGGGCCTTGGTGGAACTTTCGGGCATCATAAAGGTGGATACTGCGAGAATCGACAGCCACTGCAAAGACCTTTGAGGTAGCATCAAAGGTGGCCAGCGTATCTGGCGAATTGAGGAGCATTAGGCCCTATGAACAGTGGGAAGCGTCACCGCCGGACATTGATAAGAGGCCGGCGATGCTTTGGAATGTAATGGCGAGCGAGTAGAATGTTGGGAAACTCGGTCACACACACACACACACACACAGAGGCAGCGGCAGCGGCAGAGACAGCGGCAGCGGCAGAGACAGAGACAGAGACAGAGACAGAGACAGAGACAGAGCAAAGGGTCCAATCTTGGTAGTAACATCGAGGCAAACAAAAGCAATGGATCAACGGTGCAATGGGGCGTCAGGACCTGGCAGTTGGGGCTTCGCATGTCCCACAGACGCATGGTTTTATCCTGGCTGGTTGAGATAAACGTGTCGTCGGCTGGGTTGATGCTCAACGACGTCACACTGCAGACCATGGTCAGAGAGTGTGAGCACAAGGATGCCATACACATGCGTCAATTCACCAAACAAGGGACCTACGTTTGCTCGTGGCCACGAAAGTAGCGGAGGTACCGGTTATCGTGGAGCGACAAGTAACGGATGGTGTCTACACACACCCAGGGTCCGACCAGTAGGTGAATAAAATGCCCGGCCGCACGCGACGCCATCATATCACGACAGCCCTGGCGAGGAACGCACTATCAGCCTTGGTCGACGCGTGGAGGACGGTGTTGGGTGCGTGTGAGAAGCGCACGTGAGAGCAGCCATACTTCTTACTGGGCACCGTTGCCTTGTGCCTGGCGAGCGAGACCACCACCGCGGTCATGAGTCATTGTCAAACAAGGTTAGAAGACAGGCTTTGTGGAACAACCAAGAGGCAACCACCGTTCCAGATGGCAGAAACATGCAACGTACTCGGCCTTGAGGCAGCTATAAATGTGGATGTGATCGTCGTTGCTCGAGGTGGCCAGGAGTTCGCCGTCGGCGCTAAAGTCGAGCGCGTTGATTCGGTTGCGGTTCTCATCAAACACCCGAGCAATCTGAAAGCTTTGCAGCGTTGTGTCGTTGTACACCACACTCATGGTGTCTGGTACCCTAATGCAATCGCCACAGCCTCTACCAGTGTCACTTAGCCCGTCCAAAACCACCGCCCCGCTGCCCTGTGCCACCCCACTCGAGAGAGAGAGAGATGAGATGAGATGAGATGAGCGAGAGAGATGAGAGAGATGAGAGAGAGAAAGTAAAGGACTCACAGAGTTTGAGAGTTTGAGAGTTTGAGAGAGCGTTTGAGAGAGCGTTTGAGAGAGAGGTTTGAGTTGAGAGAGAGAGAGAGAGTTTGAGAGAGAGAGAGTTTGAGAGAGAGAGAGAGAGAGAGAGAGAGAGAGAGAGAGAGAGAGAGAGAGAGAGTTTGACAGAGAGAGAGTTTGAGAGAGAGAGGGAAGTCACTTTAACGTCTCAAAGAGGACGAACGAACCAGGGGCGAGCACATCGGGTTTGAGACTGCGCTTCGACTGACTGGCGGGTGTGTCTGTGGAACGGGATCGTTGGGTGGGGTAAACGGCGGCAGGATGGCTGCGGTACCTACGACGTCCTCTGGCGCGGTGCCGAGCGCTGCAAGCCGCGAGGAGCAGCAGGTGGCGCAATTGGCTCAGCAGTATATCCAGCAGAGTTCAAACAGCACAGAGCCCATTGAGGCAGACCGCGTTCAACCCCCCAAGCCGGCCGGCGCAGCCGCTCAAGCATCCGCTGCGACTGAGAATCAAGCTTCGCCCGAGCGAGAGGTACAAAAGCTTCCCTGCACCTCGCTCCAACACGTAGCTTTTCGCCTTGTTCGCCTTTTTTTTTTTTTTTTTTTCCCACTTGTTGTCCCGGGGGCGCTTGCTCGCTTGTCAAACTTGCTCACACACTCACTCACTCGCTTCCACACGCGCTCCACCGTTTAAAGACGCTTGCGTCCGTGCTGCGACAGCAGTACGCCCAACGGCAAGGCAGCAGCCGGACCACACCGGCGGTTAGGCATTTTGCGCAGCTGATGCCGCCCCCCCCCCCCCCACGATTCCTGACCTGAATCTCACCGCCCTTCTTGACCCGATGGCTTCATCAACCGTTGCACAGCTGGTGCCACTTGAGACCATCGACGTCCTGGTCAAGCAGATTGATCCCCATCAAGAAATTGGTTTGTTGTTTGACTTTTTAACATTTCATTGCTGCTTACTGCATCATCTCAAGCTGCTGCTTCCTGCTCATCTACCGCAGAGCCCGCGGCACGAAAGGTCATTGCAGAACTTGCACACGACTTCATTCATCGCGTCGTCAACCATTCGTGCGAGCTGGCGCGGCATCGCAGCTCCACGAAGCTTGAGGCTCAGGATGTTCAACTACACTTGCAACAAAACTGGAACATCTTCATTCCAGGCGTCGAGCCGGCCGGCATTGCTGCTTTTCGCCATGGCCGTCCCAACGAAGCTCATGTCAAGGTACATCACCCGGTCCTTTTTCCATCTGAACAAGGGGCGTGAAGAGGTTGCTCTTTCTGGTCGGACTAGCTTGCTCCCCACTTTAATCCTGGTCTTTGTTGTCGCTTTTCTCCTCTTTGTTCATAGCGCGTGGAAGCCGTGCAAAAACAGAAAAGCCGTCCTGCTAAGCGGGCTCACGTCGAGTCGACCAATCCTTAAGCGTACCCACCTCGGTGCGCTGGTCTTTTTCTAGCTTAAAAGAAAGAAGCAAAACAGGTTGTGGCTCCTCGCTGGACCATTCTTCTTAGTGTACTAGCTTGTTGCTTTCAGATTTCTGCCGTCGACAGGCAAACCACCGCCAGGACTGGTTTCAGTTTGGATGTTCCAATTTGATATCATGTTGAATGCGTGTGATTCCTTGTGGCCACACAAAACTCAGTCCACGATTGCATAATCCACTGCGCAACCGCGGAATTTAAACAGAGACTCACAGGCCCTCGCATGGGGCGAGACGCACAAAACAACCTTGATGCTCGGCTCTGCCGGCAGGCTGTTGATAGAAAGAATATGCAAGAATGCAAGTCCCTCTCTTCCCCGCGACAGACAAGATAATTTAAGCGGGCACAGAGAGATCAGGCCCCAGGTGATGCTAGCTTGGAGACTGAGGTGACATGACCTGGCTCTCAGTTTCATCGCACAATTGCCATTGCAAGATGCTGTGTGCAGCTACACTGACACACGCACCGGCTCTCAGCAAAAAGTCGACCGCCAGCACTGGGCCGTCGTGTGCGCAATAGTCTTGAAAGGTGCTCTGATCAGTATCCAATACCGTTACCAAGCGATCAGCGCTTCCAACAAGGACTCGCGGTAAGCTCGGGTGCACGGCCAAGCTAATCGGGATGCGCGGGAGCGACACAACAGTCACATTGCTGCGCTGGGAGAGCGAGTACACGAACAGGCGCGGTTCTGCTCGACCACAAGCGTGTACCACTAGGTCCGAGTTCACCGGGTGAAATCGAGCCACCATGCCAGGATCACTTGTCAAAGCCATTGCACTGGTCGGTGGCGGTGTTGGCGCAGCCGAGGCATCGGCTACGCTAAGCCAATCATAGAGCTCATTAAAGCCACGCGACCAATCGGCGCACCAGACACTGATGCGACGGTCATGGCTCGTTGCCAGCCACAGTTCGGCTGCAGCAGGAAGAGAAGAACTGGCTTGAGCAATGTCCAAGCCCGTCAATGGAGCTTGGCCGTGGTCCTTGAGAGAACGCAAAACCTGACCCGTAGTGGCGCTCAGCACGTTGAGGCGCCCCGAGCGTTGAGCTACAATGATCACCCGCTCGTCATATGAAAAACGCACAGACGTCACTGCGCTGCGGCCAACTCGTAGCTTAAGGTCCAAGTCCCCCCGCTGCAAGTCAAAAACACGCACGTGTCCATCAAGATAGCCTGCGATGGCCCGTTTCTCGTCTCGGGCAATGTCACAGCAAAGAGCTGCACACGGCTCCTGTAGGCGAATTTCCAACACCTGCTCCATGTCCGCCAGATGCCAAAGATGAAATGTGCCCATGGCTGTAACTGTAGCCAGGTGCTGAGCCCGCGCGCTCAAGCAGACATGCTGCACGTCGCTCCCATGCCCACGCCATAGTTCCAGACAAGTATCCTCGGGCCAGTGAAGCGTCAGCACGTGGCCTTGAGCCGTAGCCAAGACAACCAGGTCCAACGAGAGGTCAGCCACGGCAGCCAACACCGGTGCGCCAGCCTCCTGCTGCCGTTGCAGCTCCAATGTGGCCGACGGCGCATCGAGCTGCCACAAGCGACAGACACCAGACTGACTACACGTCATGACCCCTTGTTGACGATATACGAGGCGAAGTGCATAATCGCCCTCATCCGCCACTAGCCAGCGGACCAGGTGCCGGCGGTCAATCTCGTCCCACACATGCAGCCACCCATCATCGTCACACACAAGGACGAGACCGTCCCCGGTGAAAGCAAGACAGGTGAGCATCAACTTGTTGACTGGACGCTGGTCTCTCGTTGTGAGCTGGGGAACCGGCGCACGAGCCAGGCCCATCTGAAAAGCAGCATGATGATCGGTCACGCGGCCCAGAAACAGACTACAAGCATCGCCGCAGAGGGCAAACTGGTTGTATACGCTTGGATGCCACGCCGCATCATGTACGGGGACATCAACGTGCGCAGTACACAACAGGGCCCCATCACCAACACCCCAGAGTGCAACGCTGAGGTCGCGAAAGTTGCCCACGCTCAACAACCACCGGCCATCTACGCATTGCAGTCAAGTGGAGGCAACAGCCAACAGTATCAGTGGTGTCAGCAGCAACCAACTCCGGGTACCCATGCAGGAGCGAGCCAGACAAGTCAAATACAGATGGTCAAAGGAATGGCGTGCGTGGCTTCTTACCAGGGGAGAGTTCGAGGCAGTTGACCTCGCCAGCGTGGTGGTGCATGGTGTGCAGCGGAGACCCTTCCACCAAAGACCACACACGGATCTCGCAAAAGTCGTCGCTCTCAGCTCGCGTACTGGCTGTGGCCGCCAGGGTGCCATCGCGGCTCACGCTCAATGCCGTGATCGATTCGTGATGTCCTTTTAGCACAGCTTGGTAGCTATCCTCCAAGCGCTCCACGACCAATAAATTACCGCTGCGACATGAATATCGAGATGAAATAGAATCAGGCGGATGAGATGCGGCCTGCTTAAGATATCAAGCTTGACGCGGTGACGACAGGCTGTAATTTCAGTCCTGCCCCGCGCACGATGATTACCTGGCGTAGACCAGCACGCCTGTTTCTGGGTGCCACCACAATAGATTGTGGCCGTTGGTATTGAAACCGTGCTGTGTAAGCCAGGCAAAGCCCATTCATGAGCACAGCATTGAGGACACAGATGTGGGGGGCCTTATTACATCAGCCTCAGCCGAGCTGGGGGCGCTGGGTCGTGGAACGTACGGTGCGCTTCAAGCGGAGAGCTGCTGTCTCAGGGTCAGGATGGTACACTTCAGAAGCGCGCGGCAGCAGGCGTTGCGTCGGTCGCACATGGGTACCCAGTGTTGGCACGCCAGAGGGTTGCTGCTGCTGCATGCTCATCACCAAGCACATACCACCAACATCAGAAGAAAATGAAGCATCGGACGATTTTAGCAAGTAAATGTCATGAACAAACGGTCACCTACCGCCAAGTGCATGGCACGACGCAGACCAGCACTGCGTCGATCAATGTCCGAGTTTCGACCGACACCATCTTCCATCGGTGTGTCGCTGGAAGCCTCGGGGGCATCCGGAAAACGGCGCCCCGCTTCATACTCGGCCAGATTGCGAGGCGAGAAGGCATCAGCGTGGATGGCCGGTGGTGGCAGGGGATCGGCCAAAAGTCCCATGTCATCACCGTCCTCGTCAAACAGCAGGGGGTCACCGCCGCGAGGCACAATGTGGCTGGCGTAGCGAGCATGTTCCGGATGAAGCGGGGGCCGTGCGGGACGGGGCTCGCTGCGCTTGGGTAGAGAGGCAGCCAAGTCATCCGAGCTTTTCAAGGGCTCGATGTGGTGAGCGGAGGCGTCTCGCACAGAAACGGTAGCCAGCAGTTCGGTACTTGTAGGAAGCGACGGCTCGGTAGCTGGTGGCGTTGGGCAATTCATGTTGGGCATCGGTTGATTCGCTTGAGGGCCACCGCTCAACACAGGCCTCGCCGCTTCTTGGAGAACAACCTGCTTTGATTGACCCGGGCTTGGCATGTCTTGGTCATGGTTGGGGAGCAAAGCCCTAGTCGCCGGGGCTTCAAGCGCATTGTTACCATCCGAGGCATTGACATCAGAAGCCGGCGGGGGCTCAAAAGTATGCGCCACGGCCAAGAGGTCGCCTGCCGTGTATAGCGTGTTTCCACGCCACCATACGTGGCGGACAGCGCCAATGCCATTGATTTGTTGAAGAGAAACACCGGGGTCCTCAAGAGCACGGATGTCCACGCCATCATGACTGGACAAACACAAAAGGCCACGTGCTGGCTCTAGAGCTAGGGCATGAACATCGTCGCCCGGGAAAATGCGTTCGACTCGAGCACGTTCCACGTTGATTAGGACCACTGCATGTCCACAGGCCACGGCCAGCTGCTTGTCGTCCAGGAAGACAAGGCCACGACCTTTGAAAATGGGGGCAGCCGTACCTGACTCTGGTCGTGCAAGTTCCAGCTCAACTCGGCAGAGCTCGTCCAAACTGTCGGCTTCAACCACGGCCACAGTACTGGCTGTGGGGCCCAACACTGCTAGAAACCGGCCATTAGGAGCCAGTCGAAAGCAGGGGGGCACCGCTGCTCCGGGTGCAGCAAAGTCCAATGCTCGAGTCACAGTTCGAGAGGCCAAGGCTATCTGCACCAGCGTGGCGTCTGCACTGATTGTGTACAAGTAGACGCCGTCGCGCCCAAGCTGTAATCGCGCTACTGGGCAAGCGTGAACGTCCAACTCAAAAGCCACCTCAGCAGTATCACGGTTGATTGCTCGCACCACTCCGTCGTCAAAACCTGCATAAATAAGATCGCCGTTGGTTTCCGCATCAGCACACATGAGACGGGCAGCCAGCGATGGTGCGGACGTCCCATCCTCCGCGTCGGCCGACTCCAGCTGATGGCTGCCCTGGCAGAGGGCCAGGTGATGGGTCTGCCGAAGCCGATATCCGTCATATGACCAAACGCGTACAGTGCCATCATCTCCGGTCGTGATGAGATTATCGCAAGCGTCATTGGTGTCGCTCACGAGGCGACAATCAAGGACTGGCCCCAGATGGCCCCGCACGAGTGTCAAAAAGGCATGGTTTGACAGTTGCAGTGTTCCCAGCTGTCCATTGGCAGTGGCGACCAGCAGGCCCGTCGATGTGGAGACACACTGAAGGCCCGCGGCTTCCAATTGACAATCCAGGTAAGCCTGCCCCGTGGCAGCATCCCACACGTGCAGCAAGCCATTGGCATGCACGCTGGCCAACTGTGCCCCAGTGGATTCGATTGCCAGACTGCACAAAGCACTGCTCGGAGCCAAGTCCAGTACCCGAGCCAGGCGGAGGGTTTGAGTGTTGACAATGAAGACTTGTCCCGCAGCACTCCCCACGTAGGCGTGACAAGCATCGCTACGCTCGTGGCGAATGGCGATGCAAGTGAGGTTTAACGTATCGTGGTGGTGCTTGTACAGGTTGACGTGGGCTGTGCGAATTTTGTTGTCACGTCTGCGCCCGAATCGAATGTTGTTGTGGCCGCAGGTTACAAAGCGATCGCGGTCATCAGGGAGGAAAGCGACATCGTTCACTGACGCATCCACAGTGAGGGGGTCGGCCACCCAACGGTGGGACTCTGGCGTTATTGTGTTTTTGCGATCGGGGCTCAGGCGCAACAGGCTCAGAGTGGTGGAGCGACCCTGGGCCGGCGGGTACACACATAGTGCCCGGGTCCCACCTGCAGAGAGACGGACGACCTGAGGCACAGCCTGCAGGCCAAGTCGGACCAAAGGCTCGAGATCGTGGTGCGTGCTTCGAAGAACAGCCAGCGTAGCATCGGCAACTGGTGCATCATTCAGTTCCAATGCTGCCACGTGCGTCTCTCGCTGATTGCCAACGAGCATGGCCACCTGAAAGGGGGAAAAGGCAGCCCCACAAGTCAAGTCACGACAAATGTTGAGAATATGGCGCAACATCAACAGCAAATATCGTAGGGGCAGCCGCAAGTCTGTAGTAGGCACGTACCGGTGCGTGAGCCAGATGGTTGCAGATGGATTGGACGCCTGATTGAGTATCCACACGTATAAAACGACGGCCAGCCGTAAACAGGGCGGCGCCAGGGCCAAGGGAAACAACCGTCCCGTTGAGATGGGGTGTAAAGCCCTCCACGTGCATGAGTCTCAGTGGTGGATCGCGCTGCACAATCACGAGGTGATCAGCCTGCCCTGTTTCAGTTGGCGTGACATTTGCCTCAGTGTGGGCCTTTTCATCAGGCTCGACAAAAGGCATTGCTGCGCTTGCAGAAGGTGCAGGTTCCACATGAGTCATCGGCTCGTCATTCGAGGTCTCGGTACCGTCACCATCTGGAGTCGCCATGCTCTGGTCAATGCCAACCGTTGCCAGCGCTGCTGCGCCTGAGACATCTCGGCGCGGACGAACAGGTTGATGATGCTTGACCACGGCAAATCCTTTGTTAGCCGAGGCCGTAGCTCGGCGATGAGGCTGACGAGGAACGGCGTACATTTGGCTACTGCTGTTGGCTAAAGATGAGGGAAGACATCAAAGAATGAGAATGCGCCAAGGACCTCTTGTGAGGGCGCATTGGTTTGTCAACTTGCAGACGCACGTGGTATGACGGGTGCATGGGGCGGTGTGACTTCACTCGTGCCCAGGACCGGAGGTGTAGCTGGTAGGTGAGCGAAGCCTTGATCAAGGCCTTCCCCGTTCTCATGTGAGGGAAGCCCGCGCGGAAACCACATAAAGTGATGTTGCTGCTCCTCTCCCTAGGCCAGGCAGCGCAGCCAATGAGCAGAAGCGTGGGAAGACCACGACCTGAGGGGCGTTGCTTCGAACCTGAGAGGCTGCAACTCGCATCTCTCGTGGAAGTCTAGCTGGATCAAACGCTTTATCAGCAGTCCACACGCCACGCAGCCAGAGACTGGATTGAAAGCGCAGGCCCTGGCAAGCAGATGAATCGAGATTGAGCGGTTCGTGGACGCCTGCATTCCACGGCGGGCGGGGCGGCCACTTGAATGGGCGCAGGCAAGTGGCACCTTGACGCAGGCGTAGGCCACATGAAGGTATTGGTCCAGCAGCTGTCGCAGATCAAGAATCAAAAGGGTCCAGGAATCCTCTGGCAGCTGGCGCAAGGGAAAGTGTAGGCTTGTTTCGGTGGAGCGAAAAGCCTACAGCAAACACCGGTCAAATATATTGAGGTCATGCATGAGCCTAGGGTGCATATTGCCAATGAAGCTCCCAGGCTCTTGCCGTACCTCGTACGCGCTGGAAAAGGTGATGCGAACGGCAAGGCCGTTCTGGCCACTGATGTCCACGTGCCAGTAGAAAGGCAAGCCACGGTCGCCGCGTAGCTGGGATCGTTGCGGCATGGCGCAGCGCATTGTCAGGTCGAGATAACAGGCTGGCGACACTAAAGCAAGCGCACGCCAGGCGGTAGCTGGTGCGCCACACAGACCTGCACAGCCAAATAGCCACCAGTCAGGCGGAGGCTCTGCGATGCTACTTTGGGGAGTTGCAGATGTGAGTCTTGCGCGTGATGGGGCTGCAAATGATACACCTGTCGCTGCAGATGGGGATCCTAGATAGGAATTCGGCAAGAGGCGAAGGGGTCAGAAAGGTGCCAGCCACGGAAAAAGTTGGTGACCAATGCTTGTCATGCCATACTTTGACAACCGCCACATCTCCACGAATGGCACTTTGCTTGGCGGCAAAGGTGCGGAGGACGTTGACGTAGGGCGACTGCCAATCTACTTTTCAGCGAGCAAAGGTGAAAGCAAGCCCACTCGATGAAGATCGGTCATGTCGGCAAGGCAAGAGGGGCATGTCAAAAGCCGCTGCTCACCAGCACGGGTGGGCGCCATGACGTCAATTCCAAGGCTACACCCGCCCGTTCTCCAGCCCCCTGGTGAGTCTGCCGCTTTCACCAGGCAATGTCACTCGCCGGCCACTGTGAATCCTGCGATCAGACAGACGGCCTCTGCACACACTCTCGATGAAAAAAATTGAGAAAGTCCAAAAAAAAAAAAAAAAAAAAAAAAAAAAAAAAAAAAACGGTTTTTTGAGCGGTGTTTTGCTGACATTCTGACATTTCTCATATGCATATCCTCTGCATCATTAACTCAGCATTCGCTTGTTGTATTTTACTTTTCTTTTCTTTTTCTTGTTTTCAGTGAACAGCGAACGAAAGGATGGATTTCGCGGATTCGGATGGCAGCCGGGTTCAAATGCCGGTTGAATCGCCGCCAAGTGCCGGGGAGGTGGGAGAAGCTGGAAGAAATGCTTCAGATTTGGAAGCACGGGTTGGCTTGGACCTAATGGCCGCAGCGTCGGCGCAAGAGATCGAGACGGAGGAAGAGGAAGAGGAGGAGGAGGAGGCGGAGACCAAGGTCCTGCACGTGGCCTTGCCGACTGGACAGCACCATCATGAAGAGGAAGAGGTGCAATTGCGCTTTCCTATGGATGGGCATGAGGTTGTTGTGCCCGTGACTTTGCACGCACGCTTGAATGTGGCTGACACGGCGCGAGCCCTGGTTGACGAGCATCACCTTCCCCAATACCTCGAGCCGTCTGTCGTGAGCCTGCTTCAATCAGCCATGGAGACCTTTCAGCAAAAGGCACTCGACGCGCGCGACGACAAGCTGGCAGAGGCTGCCGCAGGCAAGACGGATAGCATGATTGACATACTGGCTCAATGGCGTGCGGCATACTCGGCCGAGTGGGCGCACTACCGCTTAGCCGATCACCTGCAAGCCACCGAGCGCTTTGAATCTAGTTTTGGCGCAGCAGCCCCGGAACCCGATTTCCACGAGGTCTTTCATGAGGCCATTCATTCTGAACTGCTGGTATGTCTTGCTCTTGCTCGTTTGTGTCCATGGTCTGGCCTTGGTCGACAGCTCTGCTCTTGTAGCCACTGAACGCGTTCCTGACATGGTGTCTGCGATAGCAACCTCTGCTGGAGATGGAGACTGCCATGTCCGACAACATTGCCGAGATGATTCATGACCGTGACCGCGCCTTGCAAAAGTCAGAGGAGGAGCATGCCTCTCAGCTTCAGCGGCTCATGGATCGCCTCGGAGATGATGTCACAGACCGAGATATCAATGCCACGGCAAGCCGCCACGTCTACGAGCGCGAGGTGCGGAATTGTGCCCGGTCAGCGAGGTGGTGGGTGTCGAGCTTCGATCTCGCCGTGGGCATGAGACTGATTGTGGGCACAACCCATAGATGCATGTGGCCAACCTCGAGTCGGAGATTCGCGCCCAGCGTCTTGCACAGAAGCAAGGTTATCAAGACTATGTTCGAGAGTTACACAGGGACATGAAACAAGGTACATCTCTTCCTCGTGCTATCTTTCAAGCCAGCACTAGGCAGGCCCCACCTTCGTCAAACAAGTTCCTGAGACTTTGACTGCTGGTGCTTTGACTTGAACGTCTTTTGTTTGCAGGCAAACTGCCGGCCCCTGCATCACGACCGTCGCCCTTGTCTCCGCAAACATCACCACAACCGACCAGGTTCTCCACCGCTCATGCTTCATTACTTGTGCTTATGGAGGCACCACGCTTTTGCATCTGGGTTTAACTTGGAGTCACTGTATGCGATCTTGGTGCTAGGCGTGACACGACAGGAAGTGTCGGAGGTCGTGGAAACAAGAACCTATTCAATTCGGTGCTCAAGTTTGGGCGTTCTGTGGGCAATGTGCTCAAGCCCGGTGGACCTGGAAGCCCGGTAGGCGATGAGCCTCGTGCCAGCATGGAGTTTGCCAGTGAAGGTGCGCTTTGTCTTTGTCACGCCCCTTGCCGTAGTTTCTTGCCTGCTGCTACAAGCAAACATGCTGACTGACCGGCACTCGTGGCAACGATATAGAATCACACGTGCAGGCACCACCCGTGATTGAATCCTTCACTGTGGTCTTGGGGACGCAAATGAAGATTGTCCATAACCTTCGACTCATGTCTGGTGAGTGCAATATGTTCAAGCAGCAATAGCGCCCCTGCGTGGCACATTGACCGTGTCGCACTGCTTACCTGGCCGTTTGCTCTTTGGTAGGAGATATGGTCAAAATGTGCGCAGACTTGCGGGCCTTGCCAAAGTCAGAGCAAGGAGCGCGGCGACTTGCGGGCGCCATGTCCATCTATTCAACAGCACTCTCTGCCCTGGTTCTTCCCGTGGATCAGAAGCTCAGCAGCCACACAGGACAAAAGCGCCGTTTTGCCTCTGTGTGCGAACAGGTGCGCCGACGAACCATGGACCCGGTTTCTCTGTGCGTGCTGCTCATCATGCTTCATGTCGCCACTACTGCCCGCAAATTGGTCCGTGGACTTGTCGTGGATGCAGGCTGCTGATTTGCACTTTGAAGAGCTTGACGAGCAGATTGAGACTTTGCGGGTTTGTGGGCCGCCGTGCGCTTGGGCCTGTTGCCCGCATCCTCCCTTACCTGGCCCTTGTATGGCACTAGGATGACATGATGGCCTCCCGCGTCTCCAAGCCCTCTTCGCCTGTGCGTGGGGGTGACATCCTTCTTAAGCCCGGTCCGTACTTGCTGTCTCACATGCTGTAACAGCCTCTTGCTTGTTTGTCTTTGCCGCTGCTTTTCAGTATTGGGTCACACTCTTCTCTGAAAAACTGATGCTGGGTTCTGACAGGAGATTGCTACATTACACGGCATTCGAACCTGGCCGACACGCACGTTGCCTTTCATCTTGTGGTCAACGATGACGTCTTAAGCACCCAACTCAACACTCAGCACCGCATCATGACAGGCCTGCGCAACATCTTCCGCAGCGTTTTCCAGAATAACATCAATACATTGACGCTACCCCTATTCTTGACCTTGGACTTGCCTGAGGCGGCAGATCGGCGCTGGATGCTTCAGCGTGCCGAGCTTGTTCTCAAGACCATCAAGGGTTATATCATGGAGAACACAGCCTGGGGTCGCATGGAGTCTAAAACGATCCAGCTTGTCCTACCTCAGGTACGTCTCTTTCCTTTCTTTCTTTTTGGTCTTTTTGTGGCCGTTCATTGCGGAATGAGGAACTCAATTGCGGCACAGAAAGTGGGGTCACAACTCAGTGTGGACTTTTGATTCTACTTTGACCTGTAGGGCCACGTTGACGAGATGGCACATGTCGCATCCCTGGTCGAGAGCATCTTCCGCCAGACCCGGGCTGTTTAACTTAGTCTATGGTTTGCTTTGCCTCAAATCTTGGCCCTTTTTGGGCTTGCAATTGTGCCGTTTGGCTCGCACTGAGGCGATCTGTGGCTGACTATGTCTCAAGGCAGCCTGGGAAGCGGCAGAATTCAAATCCACATGAGGATGAATGCATCCGTCAGATGCGCACAAAAAGCGTCAGGCATTCGACAAGGGAGGCGGCAGGGGCAAGCAAACTCTTGGCGGCAAAGGGGTGCTCAGATTTAGAATGTGTAATCTCGCAAGCGCTCGACACTTGATCCTTGTAAGAGGTGCGCGTGTCGTGCAGGGGCCAAAATGATGGCACCCTCATGAACAGCACGCTCGAGTCTCACCCGGAGTGGAGCTGCCCTTCAGACCTTTTACTGTTACCATCATAGCGCCCCATTGCTAGCCAAGAATAAGGCCTCAGTACCTTGCCCCATGGACCCAAGTCATATCGAGATTCCAGACGAACCAACGCGAATGTACACACCCTCCAGTTTGGCCAGAAACCGTTGGGCGCCAATGATTGGTCGATTGCCACTGCTTGGTGTCAGCTGCTGCGTCGGCAAAAGGTGACGAGACAAGGGTGTGTGAGCATGTGCGTCAACGTGTAGGCAAGCGTACAACATGGCCAAGAGCAAACGCTAAATAGCCAAGCAAGGCGGGGCCACGTCTGCGACCAGACGCCTCGCTTGGACATTCAGCTTTGCAGGATTGGACTTGCAACGTTATCGGAGACGGCGCTCGCGTGGTAGCAAGCCTTGCTCTCCGCCCCTTTGGAGCAAGCGGCATGACCGCGCTCTTGCCTCGGCGCTCAATTCGGTGGTCCATCTCGAAGAGCGCCAGCAACTGGGGCGGTTATCCCATGAATCTCTTCCCGGTCATCATAAAAGGGCGGGCGGTTGAGCTCACACTTGCCTCTTGTCGTGAGTTAAAATACCAACACGGCCGAAGGCGTTGAGCATGCGCCAAGTAGACCAAGTAGCAGAATAAAACGTGCCACGTCGCTACGGATTCAAGAATGCACAGGCGCTCTGCGCCCTGATTTCCGCATCCTCCGGGGCAACACGTCCAGGCACCGACAGCATTGTAACACTTCACGTGAAGAACACAACAAAAAAAAAAAAAATGTCGGAAAAATGAAATTACATCGGATGTATTTTTGCAAAGAATTGACAAGCGGAAGTGAATTTCGTGTTGTCTTGCTATGGACCCCTATGGTTGACACAACTCAGACATTCCAGCGTCTGCGGCTCTTGCCTCCCGGCCCGCCTTAGTCTCCAGTCACGGCCGAATCAAAACCAAATGTGAAGCAGGAATTCAAGCAAAAAAAATTGTCGTTTTTACATTAGTTTGAAATTTTCTCGCATTTTGAAGATTTGGTGCTTATCAAGGATAATCAGCAGTCTAAATCTTGGGCAGCCGCTGTGATTCCAATTTTGGGACTTGGTGTTGCAGCAGCTGTCGGCCTGTGGGGGAGCGCAGGGTGCAAAACGAGTGAGCGATGGTGGTGTGCTTTGTGAAGTGACCTTACAAAGCAAGCATGGGGACCAACCATATGATTTGTGGTCAAAGCTGCAGTTGTGATCTTCCGGATGGCGGCAACGGGCGCAAAAGGAGCCTGTGCACCGGCAGCTATATGTGGCTAGCGCACGTAGTTTGCGCTGGCATCCATGGCAGCGAGGTCGCGCACGCGCTGATCTCGGAACCGGGTGGCGGGCGGCCGTTGATGCCGGGGGGTGTGGTTCCATGGCTGGTAGCGTGGGAACCCGGGCATATCGACTAGATGGGCCGTGTGTACCTTGCGCGTGTGTACCTTGCGGAGCTGCCGAAGCGATCCGTGGCTTTGGTTGAGCAAAATGCCGTGAGCGTGCACGGCTTGCCAGAGTGCCACGTGGGGCTGCCGAGGTCACAAGCGCTGGTAGCAGCGGCGTGGGTGCCAGGGCTGTCGACACCATCGAGCCGTGGTCACAGCTATGGCCGTGGCCTTCATGATTTCCCGGTGCGTGCACGGGAGCAAACCGTGTCGATGGATGGACTGGCCCTTCGGGTGGCGTTGACGTGGAGCTGGAAAACACAAAGCGGGTGTTCGTCTCGGGTATATCGGTTCCGCTTTGACCCAAGGGGTCAGCGCCAATCAGTGAGGCGTGCCTGTGAAAAGAGGCACTGGGGTCAAGGCCATCCAATGGTGTACCCAGCGGGTCAGGCAAGTGGGCCGGGGTGCCAAGGCCATCACAAGACCACTCTGACATGCCAGCGGGAGTATCGGCGCTGCGCGAGTGGCGGAGGGGCGCGAAGCTGACGCTTTGGCACGGCGAGCGAACGGGGGGCTCCGGGCGCGAGGGCAACATTCGTTGAAAGGCTTCGACCAGCTCCTGGGTACAGGTCGCGTCATCCTCCTCACTGACCGCATCAAGCCCTCCCATTGGCCCCACACGACCAGCTGTGCGCGGCTGTGCGCGGCGCGATCGAGGCGGTGGGTGTATAACACCATCGCCCTCAGGAGCGGGCACGGGATCAGAGGCCGACTCGACCGCAGTATGGACTCCTGCATACGAGGGGATATGACGTCGCTCCACGCGTGGGGCGTGAGTGCCCACAGGGAGGGCCACTGGATGGGAGCGAGGGGAATGCTTGACACCAGTTGACGACGCTGATGTCTGACTACCAGGCCCATAACCAGCGGCCGAATGTTCTAAACTGAGAACGTCGGGTGTGCGGCGAGCGAGTGCAGGTGGCACGGCTTCTTCGTCCCCACATGAGCCAAGCATGGCTGATGCGGCCGATGCTGCCGTGGAGACGGGTTCGGGAGTTGAGGCGTGGACGACCATGGTGTTGGGCGTATGCGTCGGGGAGGGATTTGTTTTGGAAGTGCGAGGTGGAGGAGGACGAGGCCGCAGGGCAACCGGCATGGCCGGGCTGCCGGCCATGCCAGCTGTCTGATCATTGGGACCCGACACAGCATTCGCTTCCGGTGCGATTGTTTTCGTTTGAGCACGAACGCGTCGCGCGTGCTGACGGCGTGCACGGCGACGTGATTTGCTTTCCCGCATGCGACTCTGCAAGTCAGCCATGCGAAGCCGGTGGCGAGCGTTGTCCTCAATGCGCTGCATGCGCTCACGAAAGGACTGAACTGGTGCGTGTCGTGAGGAGCGCGGACGCTGGTCCCAATTATTCTCCCCCACATCCTCATCCACAGCCGCGACTTGAAACTAATAAAAGTAAAATTGCCGCGGGAGAGCACGAGCGGCAGACCGGGTTCGAATGAGTGACGGCGGGGTGTGATGTCAAGGGCAACACCAAGACTCAAGAAAGGAAACGAACACGAATCAAACTGAGGCGGTCAGCATCCCGGCACAATAGGACACGGAAGCGACCGTCTTCCAGGGCCAGCTCGATAAGTTCCTCGCATTCTGGAAGCGAGAGGTCCGTGATATCCAGAACTTGCAAGGCCAAGCCTTCCCCAAGGGGCTCGACGTAGTCTATTTGCCACGTGCAAAATCAAGGTATGCAGATGCCACCACAATGAACATGCTCGAGTTTTAAGAGGACGATGCAGGAGCAAGGGGGATCGTCACCTCAACTAAAAGAGGGACTGGGCAGGCTTGGCGTGTTGCTGGCTTACCGAGTAATTCATCATATAGCATGGGGCTTTGTAATGAAGTCTGGACATGCACAGCAAGCACCAGCTCGGCGCCGTTGCCAATGCCAAGAGAGGCCAGGGTGTCGCTATCGCGCAACTCACGACCGGCATAGACCAGGCGTTGTGAGCTCATCGGCATGTCTTGGATCATGGCGATGATGGCCTTGACGTGGGCGACCTGTCGGTGCAACGTCACGAATCATCAAGAGCAAGTTGTAAGTCGAGCCGCCGACCCAATGCCCATTTTAAGCTCAACGAGATGAGGAGGACGCAAAAAAAAAAAGGGCCCCGTTAGGAACAGGAAGCTGGACCAACCTGGCCATCCGCGTCAACGTGTAGTGAGAAGGAGGTGCCCATGACTGTCTTGATGGTGAGCTGTAGCATGCTTGCAGTGCTCGTCCGGGAGCATTGACCTTGTCCAGCTACAGGCGAGATGCCCTGGCCCATGGTGGTGGGCGCGCCTGCCGGCTCTGCTTGCGCCGTGGCCTCGGCTTGCGCCGCGGACCGGCCCGACATGGTCGAATCGGCAGCCGAACCCAAGTGCAGAGTTCCGGATACGTTGGCCAGCAATCAAACAGAGCTAGCGGAGACGGGTTACAGCAAACGGACGCTGGACGGCGCTTTCAATGAGCCGCGGCCCGTTGTGCTGCACCTTTTTGGCGACGACGATTAGCACGCCGCGCGGCAACGTCTCCTACGGTTGTTGTTGTGCTCGTATCACCCCGCAACCCAACCAAGCCAGGAGGACGGCTTGCCCCGCCGCCAAGCCAGACGCCAGAGGAGCTCGGGGCAAGACGGTACTTTCAACAAATGGCTGCTCTTCTCCCCACGGCAGGTATCCGGCTAGATACAGGAGCCCCGGCCAGCGCACCACAGGGGAGGCAAGGAGATCTGGTGTTGGGGCGACGACCACCGAGACACCAGCAAGAGGGTTGGGAAGGCTCTTGTCTGTGTGTGTGTGTGTTAGGGAGAATGAGTGTGTGACTTGTCAGAGAGAGCGTTCTGGGGTAGTGTGTTTGGCAGAGAGAGAGCAGAAGAGGGACAGGAGGTCAGAGAGAGGACAACAACCCTCAATGAATTGGTTGAAAATGCATGGCATATAAATCGGCACAAAGAGACAGGAGAGTAGTTGGATATCAAACGAGAGAGAGAGCAACAAGAACGAAAGTAAAGCAGAGACGTAAGCAACACCAAGCGAGTAGGGTTGGGCACCGTATCCCAATATCAACAAAGCATCAGACTCATAGGAATCTGCATGAACCTGCTTGGATGCTGCATGAACTTCCCTTGAAGTTGCATTGAAAGGATCACAAAGTTTAAAGACATCGTCAATAACCAACGCCGAGCTCATGGGCCTGAACTTTTGTCGAGCAGGAAGTTCCGAGGGACCGAAAGCTGCACGACTTTGCGCAAGGTAGACAGGTCCCTGTGGCCCATTTTTGATGGGGAATGCGAGCGTCAGGTGGCACCATCTTTTACAGGCTGCCGAAGAAGATGGCGTAGTCGTAGTTGAGGCCGCTGGGCCCCGACCAAGCAGCCTTGGTCGGGTCGGAATTATCGAGTGCACACTGCAGTTCCAAACAACAGCCGCATGGAAGCAAACGGTGCAAAGTGAGGTGACGTCTGACGGCAGGGCTCTGTCACATGGAACGCACCGAGGGGGCGGCGTAGCTGTCGGTGCCAAACATGCCCGTGTTTCCCGTTCCATAGGCAACACACCAGCCTATGTACACCACAATCTCGGTTTAATGTTAGCCTGCGAAGGACTACTTTCTACACGTAACCACAAGCTTCCTGCACTTCAAGACGCACCAGCCTGGGCCTCGCTGGTTGTGCGAAACGCATCATTATGATCGAGGACGAAACCGTCGATCGTGGTTGAGCCGTCGGTGGGGCGCCCGCGTGGGGCATCATGCCAGTTACCTGCAAGAGAGTTCACCCAACTGAGCCTTGCATGCCAACTTTCAGCAAGAGCATCGAATCCCATCAAGACAAGAGGTCAACAGTGCTTCTAAAGCAAACACCACCCACCTAGACCACCTCCGCAGTTGTCCGTCGCGCCTATCAAACACGGCACCCACCCAAAGTTAGCACTCAGTATCAACCGCATGTTGCTGCGCCAGGCGCCTCGAGTTTGAGTTTGTGTGCATGTACCAGACACGCGAAGGCATCTTACCACACGTCGACTCCGAAGAAGCAATGCGATCAAAGTCTTGATTGCCCTATCACCAATGCCCAAGCATGCGCTTCCTCAGAATGGCGGCCGGGTTCCAAAACATCGAGCACAAGTGGGGCTAGACGTACAATCACTTGATTCGCATGAATCACGCTGCTGGTGCGCACCAGTGTCTCGATTGAATTGATCTGCGATACCTGCAGAAATCCACGCACAATCGCAAACAAATCAATTGCGAAGGAGCACGAAAGTAAGCAGTGCTCCCCGGACTTACGTTCCCGACTGCTGCCACGCGCTCTGCACCAAGAACTTTGTTGCACTCGGCGTGATTGGTCGCGGAGCAGCCGTTGGCAAAGTGCTCGTGGAATGACAGCTACAATGGGCACGCGCGCGAATGTGAGAGAATAGGAAAGATAGAGGGGGAAAAAAGAAAAAAAGAAAGAAAAAAGCCACACACACACAAATACATGTGCACGTTTTCGCCCGGTGTTGCCACCAGCCGGCCGAGGGCGGGTGCGCACCTGCTGGTTTCCACGCGTCCAAACCTGCCAGCCGATCATGATGCCATTTTCATGAACCATCATCATCATGTGCGTCGTACTTTTGACACGCATGGCAGCCGTTGTCTTGGCGTCGTGCCGCAGGAAGTAATGATCGCGCACGTCGTTGTAGGTGTTTGTATTCTCCCACAGCGGGTTGCCCCACCTGCATTTAACGGTGAAATTGCAATGCGGCCATCATTTCAGTACATGTCCAAGAAACAAAGCAGAAACGCCAGCCCAGGCATCAACACGAACCACATGACATGGCCATCGGACGTGTCCAGGTTCAGAAGCAAGGTCCAAGCCGTGCCACCTTCGACCTGACGCAAGCCAGGGTCAGTGATTCAACAGTTGCGTCAGCTTTGTCAATGCACAGCTTAACGAGGGGAACAGCGCCATCGGTGCATGCGCCTGCTTGACTTGCTCTTCACTTACCCAGCAGAAAGCGTCAAAGCTCCCTTGGCCGTCCGGATCGATCTTGTACACACCCGTGACCATGGCGGAACCGTGCTTTGCGTAAAGCGCTGAGCAGTCGGCCTGAGAAAGGAGGGTGCCATGAGCCGGCGTGAGGACAGAGAAGAAGCTGGTGTCCGGCCCAATTCCTCACTTCTTACCTCAATGGGCTGAGAAGACGCTTGGCCCCAAAATGAAGGCCGCTCCTCGAGCGCAGCTACAAACACCGAATAATCATACTCGATGCCATTGGAATATGACCTGCGCAATCCCACACCAAACCCTGTTGTAAGCGATGGTAGATGCATGACGCACCACACCGATCCATGTCGCATGCCCCTTTTCTGAAGAAGGCAACGCCAAACATACCAGGCGGCCTTGGTGGGATCACTGTCACTTTGGGCACACTATCGAAGGACAGCGGGCTGTAAGCTGACAAAGCGAATGGCCGCCGGGTCAGGAGCGTGATTGGGAGCGTACGCCTGCCGTACCGTGGCTGGGGCAAAACTGTCAGTTCCGTACATGCCGCTGTTATCGCCATCGTCTAAGATGCCACGCGAGCAACGTCCGCGTAAGCGAAATCCAGGGTTGATCGACAACAATGCGACAAGTCCTGACTCAAAGGCTTGGGACAGGTACCAACAGTCACACCAGCCAGCTTGAGCTTCGGACACAGTCCGAAAGGCGCTGTTTGGCAGAAAGTTGATGCCGACCACTGAGGTAGCGCCGTTGGTTGGCATGCCATATGGCATATCGTGCCAGTTGCCTAGGCCACCGCCCATGTTATCAGTGAATCCGGCCGAGGCACTGTCAGAGCTGATCCGGTCCAGGTCTTTGATACTGGTATCTACGACGTGATTGGCGTACAGCTCGCGTGACAACTGCGCGTCCGAGTGAAATGGTCGTAAGATTGGCCAACAGGAAAGCATGAGAGGTGGAAGGGAAGTGGGGTGAAAATAGGGCAAGGGGTAGCTCGCAAAGCTATTCACTGTACTTGACAAACCTTGACGAGTTTCTCGTTGGGTTCAAGATTTCCAACGCTGGCTAGGCCCGTCGCACGACCAAGATGAAGATTGCAATTGGCCCACTCAGGCCCATCATCCAGTGGAGCACACTGACCACCAAAGTAATCGCTGGCGATGCAGCAAAATAAAAGGAGCGCACAAGCATTATCTGCCAGCCATACCAAAGGTGTTCCAAAGGTGGAATGGAAGTGCATTCTCCAAAGGGCAGATTGAGCAATGGGAGCCAGTCAAGCATGCTTGACTGCCGAACGAGCAAGCTGACCTTAGTGCGGCCCCGGAGGAGGTTTCAAACTGCCGCCAACCCACAACAGTGCCGCCCACGTGCACGGCAAGTACGAGATGAGTGATGCCCGTTGCCTTGAACCAGGATGTCGTCTTTTTGTCGCCCGCTAGCAGTCGTTTGCGGAACAGCGAAACCCGTTGGTCACAGCAAAATCATGAGTGCCAACTAGCAGGCAGGAAGTTTTTTTTAATGCAAGGGGCCACTTAACCCACCAGACGCCAAGGTGTAGGCGGTACTGATTGTGCCATACTCCTGTTCGTTTTGCCAGAGCTCATTGCCCCACCTCAACATTGGATGAGTTGAAGGAAGCAAAAGATATGCCTCGAGTCAGTAACGATTTGCGTTGGCTCTGCATGGCAGTGACAAGCGCCCCAGTCTCCCTTTCGCTTGAGTGTTAGGTGGCCAGGGCTCACCACATGACATGGCCATCCGAGGTATCGAGGTTTAGGGCAAGTTCATAGGCTTGGCCGCCAAAGGTGTAGCAAAAAGCTCGATAGGACGCGCCCGAGGCATCTTCAAGATAAAACTGGCTCAAATCAAGGGCGGATAACCGGGGAAGAGGGCAATTGAGAGGATAGGATATAACGTGACGATCAAAGGAAAGAAGCACGGCGTCAGGTGCTGCACGACAACGGTTCAAGGAGACGTACGACGCCATTGAGGTCACTCAGCTCGGTGGCTTCCATGTTCTTGCGAAGATGCTCGCAGCTTGCCCCAGGCGCGTTGCGAGATCCTGTGCAAACGCAGTCAATGCGACAAATACAATTCAGCCAGTCATCTATCCACCGGCCCTGATGTGCGTCTCAATGTGTAATCACAGGGATATTTTTGGCAGACGAACCAAGTTGAAGGTCAGCCAGGCCTGAGGAAAGGCGGGAGACGTTGCCAGCCAGCTCGGAGATGAGGGCTTCGAAACTGGCTTCGGCAGCTTCAAAGCTGGCCACTGAGGCGCTAAGGTTGTTGCGAAGGACGGTGTTTTCCGCGGCCAAGGTTTGTAGTTGCTCTGTGAAGTTGGCAGTGGTGGCTTGCTGCTGACTGGACAGGCCCTGAAGTTGCGATGTGAGATTCGCAAGCGCCTGTGTGTGGGCGCCTTCGGAGGCGAGGACGTGAGTTGACAAGGTCTGTAGGGAAGAGTTGATTGCCGCTGTATCGGAGATGAGTGCAAGCTCAAGATCAACCAGGGCTTGTGCAGTGGCGCTCTGTCCCAGAGTGGTGTTGACGGCCTCGATTGTCTCGACCAAACGAGCAAGATTGACATCGTGCGAAGCTGTCAGGGCTTGAAGCGTGACGATATCAGCTTGCGTGGCCGACGCGTTGGATCTAGGAAGGAACGAGCAGTCGTGGCAAGGTCGGCGGTCAGCGCCCTTAATCTGAGTTGGTCAAACGACCAGACGGCTGCACCGATCGTACAAACCGCAAATTTTGCAAGGAGAGGTCAAACGCATCAAGGGTGGCCAAGACCGGAAGGACCAGACCATTGGCTCTAATCAAGCGGCAGCAGGTATCTATGTATGAGTGCATGCATGGAGACCATTGCCTTTGCTGGAGAAAGGCTCGATCAAACTGACCGTTGGAGGTTGATCTCGTCCGCAGCACCAGCAGCAAGGCAAAGTTGGCCATCCTCCACCTCGATTGCAGCGGGACACTCGTCCCCCTCAACGCAAGCCTCAGCCAAGACCACGCCGGTTGTCATGACCCACAACAAACACCCCAGGCCAAGCAGCACGGCAACGCCGGCCCGCACCGACATGCTTCCGATCCCTCAATCCACCAAGCCCTTGGAGATGATCAACGACGATATAACCGAAAACCAATGGGCGGTATCACCCAAGTGTGCTCTCATCACCGATTTGCACGAAATCCAAAAAAAAAAAAAAAAAAAAAAAAATGGTCGAACTTGTGAAATTTTTTCGGAGTGCGTTTTTGCTGACATTTTGCTCGTGTTTTGCTGTTGAAATGGTATTGAAAAGGCTTGATGTAGCGTTTTATGAGGTTATCGTATAAGTGCTGAATGTTTGTGTGTAGTTTATGGAGAGTTGGTGCAGACGGATTGGAAGTTAAAAGCTGAAACTTCTTTTCTGCTTGTGGGGGCTGCGATCTTACCGTTATTCGTGTGTGTGTGAGTGTGTCGTCGTTTTTTTTTTTTTTTTTCAAAAATGGCAGCCAACGCCAAGCCGCTGAGTTTGCAGATTGCCGATGCACGTGGCATTAGCTACAAGGGAAAGCCATTAATGTGGAAGGAACGGTTCAAGGCCCGGTGCCGGGAGGAGCTGCGGCGCAAGCGGTATGCTGCCATGGACCAGCGACGACTTGGCTCTGGGCACGACGGGACCACCGCGGAAGAAGGCACCATGGACATGGAAACGGACGTGGAACAGGTCATGCGCGAGCAGCTTGCTCTGCTGCAGCAGCAGGTCGTTGGTGATGACGTCCACGCCCTGTCACCAGGGGTTGATGCCGCGCAGGCATGGTCGACGGAGCCCGGCGCTTTGTGTAGCCGCTCTCAACCCTTCAGCCTCGGCAGTCACCCCCGTGGCGATGCCCGGGAAACCCATGCAAGTGCACACGACTTTAACAGTGATGAGGGACAGGAAGATGTGGATATTCTCACGCCCAGCACTGAGGCTGAATATGACTATCTGCTCGACCTTTGGAGCGAGATTCAGCAGGAACTCATGGTGGAGGACGCCAGCCAGGCATTTCTCGAGGACGAGGCGCAGATCGAGGAGGCTGAGCAGGAGGAAGCACGCGCGCGAGACGAGGCCCTGGCAGCGCTCTCCCTTGCCGATGACAACGCCGTAACCTGCCCCGTGTGCCGGCATTCTCTGTTACGCATGCGGCTCTGCGTCATTTTCTGCCCCTGTGGCTTTCAGCTCAACACGCAGGACGAAGGCATGACGCTGGCCCAGTTTGGACATCTCCTCTACGACCTAGTCGATGAGCACGACGCAACAGGCTGCTCGCAACGTCTGAGCTTTCGAGTCTGTGAAACCATGGCAGAGCGCCGATGCCCCCAAGTTTTGGAGGCTGCGTGTCGGGCTTGTGGATTTATGAATTTTGTTTAGCTGACCAGCGATGAATGGCGTCAGGTCACCAAGGGGCTTGGCCCATTTGAGCCCCAAGAGGAAAGCAACAGAGAGAGAAAGCTTGCTGAGCAAGAATGCCGGAAGGGTAGCGCCAAGCAGGAAACCAAAGTCTTATTTGTTGGCGTGTCGCCTGTGTTTCTTCCGGTTTGAGCCTCAAAAAAAGAATTGATCGATTGACGATGCAGATGTTGTGCTTGTGACACGTTTTGCGAGAGCTTGACCGTACAGAAGCACGGAAAAGCTGCTGGGGCAGGACGCTGGTAGATGGTGAATCCAGGGTCATGAAGTCACAAAAGGCGGGCTCTGCAGAGCAATACACAAATGCTCTACTTGACGGTAAACTTCTCCGGGACACCCTTGCTGGTACCATGATCAGGAGTATCGCGAACGATGCACTTGACGTAAGTATCGCGGTACGCCTCGAGGTTGTCTTCGGTCGTCATGTCGTCCAGCTTGGCCATGTCCTCGAGATCAAGCTCAAAGTCAAACGAGTTGAAATTTTCGGCCATGCGCTCCTTGCGGGAGCTCTTCGCCAACACGGCAAAGCCATGCTGCACGGCCCAACGCACCAGAATCTACAGCCAACAAGGTGACGGTAGCACGAGCCACACGACGTTGGGGTTTAGTACACGGGCTGCGGCTCGAGAGGACAAGCACACAGCGCCCGACGCCCGCGGCTTGAGGGACATGGCACGGGCAGCAGTACCTGAGCGGCGGGGCGCTTGTGCTTGTCCGCAATGGTCTTGATGATCGCATCGTCCAGCTCTTGAGCCTGGCGGAGCGCCCGATAGGCCTCGAAGCGCACGCCTTCCTTTTCAAAGTACTCGATGGTTTGCCGCCGGTACAGAAAGGGGTTGATCTCAATCTGATTGACGACGGGCTGCGGCGCGCGGTTGTTTGCGATACCAACCAACCGTAACAGTTAAGGACTGCGCAAGCCGCAAAGGAACATGAATCGGGGACGTGTGGATCACTACCTGCACCGTCATGTGCTTCTTGAGCTCCTCGTAGTCTTCAATGGTATAATTGCTGACGCCAATGGATTTGACCTTGCCCTCTGCTTGCAGCTGTTCCAGCTCCTTGTAGGCCTATGGCGTGGACCCAGCACCAGTTTTCATAAAGCAGCGTGGACAGCAACCATGGCATCCGAGAGGTGGATGGTGACGTGTTCTTCGTGAGCGCTTTGATATTGAAACATGTGAGCAAGGGGCAGGTTTTTAACAAGTCACTCACCTCAATGTGCTTTTCGGGCACCGGCCAATGGATGAGATACAGGTCAAGGTAGTCGGTCTTGAGGTCCTTCAGACTCTGCAGCACCTGGGCACGCACCGCCTCGCGACCCTTGTAAATGGTGTCGTTCCAGCACTTGGAGACCTGCAAAAAAAAAAAAAAAAAAAAAAAAAAAAAAAAAAAAAAATGATGTGATGGCAGAAGGGGCAGAAGAATGCAGGGTGAGAATGAGAAGGCCAACTGTGTCGGCGAAGGAGGCAAAACAAAACTACTTTGCAAGCTCAGTCGCACCAGATACAGCTCTGCCCGGGGCACGGACGTGCTGCTGAGGGCTTCGCCGACAATCTCTTCGTTGCCATAGAATTGGGCACAGTCAAAGTAGCGATAGCCCACGTCCACGGCATCCTAAGTCACCGATCTCACTCAATGAAAAGCTGGAGGTGGCTGCATGAAAACGGGGCGTGGGAGGCCGTCTGGCAACGTACCCGAATAATATCACGGGGGTCCCGGTCGTCCTGCGCTGGAGCAGCATTTGTCGAACTCTTGGGGACATACCCAACCTATCCTCAAAGCCGGAGTTTGCCACGAAAGGCACGCCGCCGCCGGAAACAACACAATGAGGGCACGGGCTCCAACTCCGGCAAGGACCAGACGACGGTACCTTGTAGGTTCCAAAGCCAAGCATGGGGTGCTGAGTGCCGTCCGCCAGCTTCATGTTGGGAATAGTAGCCGCCATCCTGAACCTTGAGGTCTTCTTCTACACCGCCCTAAAACCCAGACCACCGTCAATCACACACCCGTCTCCTGCCAGAAACACGCCAACGAGAGCAACTGGCCCGAGCATCCGATCTCACTGACTTGTGCCAAATGCGCACTCTCTGTGTGTGTGTGTGTGTGTGTGTGTTGTTGTTGTCTTCTTCTGCTTATTTTGTACTGCCCTCCCCAACTTGGAAATCACAATTTGAGTGATGTCAGATGATTTCTCTGATACTGCTTTTGACACACACACTCAACAAATCGAAAAAGAAAAAAAAAAAAGAGAAAAAAGAGGAAAAAAAAGCTTGCTGCCATCATCATGGCAGGTCGGGGTGCCGCGGCCAAGGAGCAACCCGAATCAACTCGAGAGGGCACGGCAGCGAGCGCCTGGGTGTCATCGCTGGCTGGGGGAGTGGCGGGCTCGGCATCTCGTTTTGCCACCAACCCTTTTGATGTCCTTAAGATTCGAATGCAGCTGCAGGCGGAGCCCATTCGGCGTGGCCAGGTTGGTTTGCGACGCATGTGGCTCACTCCGATGGGCGCTCTACATCTCAAATACCTTGTTGGCCAATTACTCCTGGCAGGCAGCTGGCAAATACCAAGGCGTAGTCCACTGCCTTCGCACCATTGTGACAGAAGAGGGCGTGCAGGCACTTTGGAAGGGTCACCTAGCCTCACAGCTCCTGACCATTACCTACTGTGCCGTTCAGGTACGGCGAGGGTCCCAATGATGAGGTTTGGCCGAATGGCCAGACCTGATGCTTCCCACCTCACCCGGTACCTCTTGCTCCCGCATATCCCCAGTTTCCCGTCTATGAAACATTGGTGGCGCAGACACGAACACACTTGACCAACCAAGCCTTGGCTGGTAAGGATGCTGCAAACCAAAATTTTGGACGCTATGAGTCCTAGGTACCTCATGGGCGTGAATTTTTCAACCCAGAGTTTTTCGCGGGGAGTGGTGCCGGCGTGGTGGCGTCGCTGGCAACATATCCTTT